AAACCACTGCTCTTCCTTTCCCCTCTATAAATGCTAAGACTCGTGTTGTATTTGACATTGTGATTTATAGAGTTAATCAAGAAGTTTATCTTACCTTCCTAGATTAGAAGGTCGTCTCTTCCCCCCTGTCTCGCCCCTTGGACTGGAGGTTCCTCCCCTCCTTTCATCGCCTCTTAGACTAGGGGCTTCCTCTCTTCTTTTCGTCCTCTTGGATTAGGGGGACCTCCGTCTCTTCTTCTTCACATCATCCTCGCCTTCTGCCCCGTCGTCGCCACCCCCCCTCCTCGCCAGTCACCCCGTCGCCGTCGTCTCGCCTCCTTGCCGTCTACCCCATCACTGCCATTGCGCCTCCTTGCCATTCATCCCCACACCGTCGTTCCTCTTCCTCCCCATCCGCCTCGTCGTCGCCGTTCTTCCTTCTTACCATCCACCCCGTCGTCGTCATTCCCCTTCTCGCCAGCCGCCCTGTCGCCATCATCCCGCCTCCTTACCGTCTGCCCCGTCGCCGCCATTCCCTTTCTCACCAGCCACCCTGTCGCCATAATCCCGCCTCCTCGCCACCACTCCGACTCCTTGTCGTCCACCCCGTCACCGCCACTTCATCTCCTCACTGTTGCAAACCCTCTCCTTTTCTCTCTCCTGCTGTCACCACAAAACCTTCTTTTCCCTCTCCTACTGACTCCCTCATTCTGCTACCTTTTTCTCCCTCCGCCCCTTTAGGTAATATTTAATTATTCACCCACATTTCACTCTCCACGAGAACGCCCCCCCTCTCTCTCCTGTCGGAACCCTCTTTCTTCTCTCTCCCGCCGTCGTCATGTATCCCCTCATTTTTTTTCTCTCTCCCACCAATGCCCTCTCATTCCGCCCCTTTTTCCTCTCCCCATCTTTTCTTCTTCTCATCATTATTTTATTCTATTATTCCTACTATTCCTCATTTACACCTTTTTTCCCTCTTATATTTTAATTATTTAACTACTTTGTGGATATTAATTGTTAAACTCAATTCGACCATTCCTTTCAAATCATCACCCATTGAAAATCTCCAACAAGGCTTGTGGATCTCAAGCCACTAGAATCAATAAAATCAATCAAAATTTTTCTTTAGCAAGGTATGTTGATTTCAATTCTCTTTGTAAAGTGATCATTATTCTATATCCTTGCTCTTTATAGGAATTGAGTGAACCACAAGATAGCCCTCTTTTGTGTCTTTTATCAATGATCCTAACACCCTCGGTTGGAACTCTATCTGAATCCTTGAAATTGTAATTCTTCTTAGGTAATCACGATTTTAATTCTTCTAAAATCAACAAGATTAGCCTACTCATAATCCTTCTTAACTTAGCCAAGAACAATATTAAATCTCAACTTTCTTTTTAATACTGATATTTCTTTTTGGTTATACATCATTACCTCTAGGCTCTAGCTTATCATCATTTATATGGACATATGTTGTACAACTAAAGATTTTTTAAGTTTGAATAATCAGGAGAGTTATTTGACCAAATTTCTTCATGAGCTTTGAAGTTAACAGTTGAGGTTGGAGATCTATTCACAAGATAATAAGTTGTGGACACTATTTCTACTAAAAAGTCTTGACCAAGACCTACATATAATATCATACAATGAATTGTTCTAATAGAGTTTTATTTATTCTTTCTACAACTCTATTTGTTGTGGAGTATAACAAATTATCTTGTTCCTAACAACACCTTCATTTTTACAAATCTTTAAATTCAATAGAGCAAAACTCTAGATCATTATTAGTCAACCTTTTGATTTTCTTCTTAATTTGTTTTTCAAGCAAAGCCTTTTATTACTTAAAATACATAAAAACTTTAGATTTATACTTAAGTATGAATACTCAAATGTTTTTAGAAAAATTATCAATAAATGATAGAAAATAACAAACAATACCTTTTGAAGTGATGTGAGAAGAACCCCAAAGATTTGAGTGGATATAATCAAGAGTACCTTTGATTTTATGAGTTGCCATCTACAAGCTAACTCTTTTATACTTACCCAAGATAATGTTCACAAAATTCAACCTTGTTGGTACTTTGCCTACAAAGTAAGCCTCTCTTGTTTAATAAATCTATTCCTTTCTCACTCATATGTCCCAACTTTATATGTCATAATTTGGTGACATCTTCTTCTATCATTGAGGTAAATGCTACAACAATTGAATTAGAAATAATAGTCCTTAATATGGTGTAGAGGGTACCACATCTTTATCCTTTCATCACAACAAGAGCTCATTTGCTGACTTTTGTGACCTTATTTTCATTTGAAAATTTGTAGCTATTAGCTTCAAGAGTGCCCAAAGAAATAAGATTTTTCTTCAAATTAGAATGTCTGACATTAGATAATATTTTTGTGATACTATCAAACATTTTGATATGAATTGTGTCAGTACCAACAATCTTATATGAGACATCATTTTCTATTAAGATATTTTTCACCATTGATCTACTCATAAGTAGAAAAATAATCTCTATGAGAAGTTATATGATATGAACAACATGTATCTAAGATCCAATCATCTTTGGATATGATTGTATAAACAAAAAAAATAAAATCCTGAGTCTCATCTTTGACAATATTAGTCTATGCTGAACTTTCAGTACGATTAGACTCCTTGGAGTCTTCTTACTACTTTTTCTTGAGTTTATAATAGTCAACCTTCACATATCTCTTCTTATAATAATAATTATAAAACTTATTTTCGGATTTTGATTTAGATCTTGACTCACTTCTATTTCCCTCTTGACTTTTCTCCTTAGGTCTACCTCTAGCGATAAGATCTTCAAATTATTGTCCTTCTAAAATAATAGTCATATCTTTGTCAATCAACTCTTTCAAAAACAAAGAAAATTTAACATCTTCAATAGATATAGTATTTCTATCATATAATATAGTTTATCGAAAATGTCTATATAATAGTGGTAAGTAACAATATGAATAAATATTACTTCAAATATAATTTGCTGATGAGTGAGCTAATTATATACAATGACTCCAACTTCAACCTTAATATAGCCATTGTAGTTTCATGAATGACGCACATGTAACCTCATTGGACAAACTAAGTTGAATCACAACAAGTACTTTCTCATTTGATTCTTATTTTACTTTCATAGACATAGTATTTGATATTTTTTATTTTCTTAATAATATTTTATGTAGCCCTTAGTGGTTTAGAAAGGCTCTCAACTTGACCTATTACATTTCGAAGTTAATGCTTCAGTCGAACTTCTCAATATCAAACTTAGTAGACATCTTGTATCTCTATTTGTGTTGAAATAAGACTCTAATCAGAAGCTCTAATATCAATTTATGAAGAAATAGTGCTTGAAATATGATCTTAATAGGCTTAAATTAAGTTGTTAATATAACTGAAAATAAAAATTACAAGTATAATAGGTCTTCTAATATTTAAATGATAATGAAAATGTAGAATGGGCTATAATAAAGTGAGATTTTAATTATTGTGATCTAAAGAGGATAAACACACTTTACAATTAGTAAATTAATATAGAAGAGAGTAATGACAATGTCTAAGGAATAGAATATAATAGAGATAGAGTTAATGAAGTGATGATATTAGCCACTAGTAGAGGGGAGAGAAAAAAGGGAGGGACATGAAGTCGATACTCTTGTTGCAACTGTCATAAAGGATAGCATCTCATGTGTCCTAAATTTCTCTGTTTCATCTCATGTTTCTCTCTCCTCAAGCTCCCTTTAAATATAAGTTATAGAAAAGAGGCTGGACTGTTTTCTGAATAGAAAAAGTCGTAAGTAAAGAGGGACGTGGCCCACATGGGCCTTGCTGAATAAAGGATGACCAAGTCATCCTTACATGCTCCCGCTAATAAAAGAGAGAGTTGGAGACAAAAGCAGAAAACAAATCATCACAAGCCACGTACTCGGCCTCTCTAGGGAAGACAGCTCCGTGGAGATCATGCGGCATCGGCGAAGGTGAGGTAGAGACTGTCTGCCGTGATCTGGCCCACAGCGCTGGCCTCTGGTTTTTAAAACGAAATTCTAGATAAAAAAATTCTAGTCAGCTGAATCTCGAAGAGAACCGACGAAGAATACTGCCGTAGAGAGACATAAAATCCTCCACGGCTGCTTTCTCCCGTAAGCTAGAGCCTTCAAAGTCGTTCGGCGAAAGTCAATTCGTCGACTTTAAAACGGCGGCACATGTGGCCTCCTTCCAGGTACCCAGCCTTTCCTAGTGAAGTACCACTTCCGCATTTGATCTAATCCTATTTGGGTGCTAATAGGGCCCCGAAGATTGTCCCCTTCTCTTAAGGTCAACCTTCTCTCTATCTCTCTCTCTCTCTCTTTCCCTCTCTCTCGTTTCCGCTGCCAGCCCCCGTCCTGATCCTTGGCCCATTCGGCTTGGGGATGACTTCTAGGGCTTTAGCATTGATTTGTTTCTCTCTGCTTCTGGGTCCAAACATTTTAATGGTCCTCGTGTAATCCAATCATCGGAAAAGATATCAGAGTTAACATGCGCGTGAAAGTTTTCGCAATGTATACATTATGGCGTATTTTTCATTTAAAATCCTTCAGAAAACAGGTCATTTATTGGGAATTATCGCCATACCTTGACCCGTAAACTTTCCCCAAAAATAATCAGCTCTGGTTATTTGCTCCTCATTTAGACGTGCTCTAAATGTTGTCAGCTCCCACGATCCATAAGTTTGTCAATATTATTAGCTCACTCAAATTACTAGAACATGATATCTGCCGCTTAAATGCCAGAGAGTAGTTTATAAGGACTTAGAGGTCTAGACGTGAATAAATCGTTCGAATATGTATAAAGCACCTCGTTTTTCAATAACCAGCTCGATTAGCCATTGATTTATGGTTTCTGAGATTATCTAGAGAAACATTTTTTCCCAGAAACTAAGACAAATCCTTGAACTACATTTAATTGTGGTAGTAGATGACCCTCGTCATCCGGGGAATCCTACGATTAGAGAAATGGTCTGCTATGAAGGGAACAACTTGGAGTTGCCCAGCGTCGGACCAGTCGTGGTTAACGCCCCGTCGACCACGAGGTTCTGCCCGCTGACGAACCTCGATTCGTCGCTCGCCAGGAAGAGAGCCGCCTCCGCTACGTCCTCCGGCGTCAGCGTCGAGCCCTTGAGCGGCATCATGGAGCTGTTGATCTTCTCCAAGGTCTCCACGGGTACCGATGAATGACTGGTCGACATGGGGGTCAGCATGGACGCCGGCGACACGCAGTTCACACGGATCCCGTGCCCCCCCAGCGACGCCGCTGCGGCCTTCGCGAGCCCCACGACGCCGTGCTTCGAGCTGGTGTAGGCGGGGGTCCCCAGGCCGCCGAGAACGGAGGCGACGCTAGCGGTGGTGAGGATGCTACCCCGGCGGGCGGGGATCATTACCCTGGCGGCGTGCTTGGTGCCCAGAAAGGCCCCCCGGAGGTTCACGGCGATCGTACGGTCGAACTCCAGCACCTGGCGGTCGACGATCGAGGTCATCACCGAGTCGAGGACGGCGGCGTTATTGCACATGACGTCCAGCTTCCCGTGCTCCGCCACGGCGGCGTCGACGGCCGCACGGACGTCGTCTTCAACGGCGACGTCGCAACTCACGAATATAGCGGATCCACCGGCGGCGGTCAGATCGTTGCAGACGGAGCGGCCCAGCTCTTCCTGGACATCAGCGACGACGATCTTGGCGCCATGGCGGGCAAAGAGGATGGCCATGGCCTCGCCGAGCCCGCTCGCGCCGCCGGTGATCAGGGCGACCTTCCCCTCCAGCCTACCATTCCAACCAGACACAGAGCTAAGAATCAAATAATTCCTGCAAACGAACGACGCCAAAAGGACTCGGTGGTGGGTCGGCGCACCTTCTGATCATCCCGCAGGTGAAAGCTCCGGTCGTCATCCCCGGCAAGGTCTCCTCCTCGAGGTTCGATCTTATTCCTCCCCCGCCTTTAGAGGAGGCGGCCGGCATCCACGTCGCAGCTATACCCAAAGACTAATGTGTATGATTTTGACTAATCAAACGGCAAGATGTCGTCACATGTCCAGCTGCGCTGACATAGTCGACACTCGGATGGTGACGTGTCTAATGGCCCGAATGATCATCGTTCATGGGCCACAGAGATCGGTCCACGGAGCCCAACTGAAACGGGCTTCCCCGGCAGCTGCTAGAGTCGGCGAGCTCATTACGAGGGAGTTCGAAGGCCACGGTGTCGACTACTCGTGGCCTGTGGCCAGGACCGGGTTCGTCGCCACCATCGGGCCCGGCGACGGGCCGGAGTTCGTCCTCAGGGTCGACATGGACGCTCTCCGTCTGGAGGTGATGATGACCCCCCTCGCCTCTCCGTTCTGGTCGACTGGTTGTAGTCGAATTTCATGGGGGGGTTTCTCGTGCAGTCCGTGTGACGATCTTTGCACGGCGAGATTCGAATAGTCGAGTTCGAATAAGGTATTAAGAACGAGGAAAGCACGCACCGAGGATGAGTCGAGGATGAGTCGAGGCAAGGGTTCGGAAGGCAAGGAGACGGCGTCAAGATGGTCGCGCAGCTTGAGGAGAGGGCGGCAAGGAGAGTCGTCGACGAGACAAGGTGAGGCGGCCACGGTCGTGACCTGCCTCCGAGGAGGGGCGGCGCGTCGGGGGAGAAGAGTAAACGGGAAAACAAAATAAATCGATTTGAGTATGGTAGTGTTTTGTGTACAGCCATGAAATTATAAAAAAACATATTAAAAAATATTAAATTGGAGCTAAATCTCTCAATAGGTCAGAGCCCTAAAGTTCACTTGCGGCTATTTTAATTGTAAGGGAGGTACACATCTGCGGAAACAAATCTGGACTTACATATATGCAAGAGATATAAGAGGAACACCAAAAAAGGAAGAGAATATTCAAGGGATGGTGTGGACCACCTCTATCCGTCCATGGTGTCGCCATTCACAAGAAGGCCCTCCGAACGGCCCATTTAACCTAAAGAGAATCAACAATAGGCCAAAAGATATAAAGAAGAGCAGAAGGAAGAGTAGGAGAAGAAGAATACTACTCGTAGTTGATTCGCTGCCATCATCCTCATTGTGCTGTTCTGTTGTTGATTGGTTCTGCTGAAGCTGTTGATCATGTTCGATAGTTTGACCAGTTCCCCCGTTTTCTTTCAGCTGATGGCCTGACTGAAGATGACTCGATTCATTAAGGGCACATGCAATTCGAGAGCTAAGAGGACATGCCAGCCAGTTCTCATGAACAAATGAAGCAGTCATTCGTGAATGAGAAGAAGACTTTCAGATGGCGGGCGGTCCAGTCGAGTGTCACCAGGCACTCCTGCGAGGATGAGTTTGGGAGACAAGAAACGTAGTTTGCTAGAAGAAGTAGTGTAATTTCACTCAGTCATTGCGAATTGATCACAATTATTCATGAACAACCGAAGCGGAAAGCAGAAAAACACAAACTCCATCTACTCCGAGCTTCAGGATACGGCATAGAATGGACAGAGAACAAACAGACGAGAAGAGTGGCGGCGGCGAGGAGATACGATTGGAAATAGCAGGAAGAACGACAATTATACAGAAGGATTGGGAAGATTGAAGGGAAGCGGAAGACGGATCAGATCAGGATGAGGCAAAGAGGTGTGCCCCCAAGCTGGGATTGGTTGTTGTGTAGCCGCCGTCGACCACAAGGTTATGTCCGTTGACATATCTGGACTCGTCGCTGGCCAGGTAGAGCACCGCCTCGGCGATATCCTGCGCCTTCAACGCCGCGGCACTCAGGACGGAGCTCTTCTCCACGGCGTCTTCCATGGCTCTGGTGTCCATCCCAAGCGCCCTGCAGGCCAAGGGCGACGCCAAAAGATGAGGGGAGACGCAGTTCACCCGCACGCCGCAGCGGCCCAGCTCCACGGCGGCGTCCCTCGTCAGCCCCACCACGGCGTGCTTTGACGCCGTGTAGGGGGATACCGTCATGGCAGCCATGACTGACGCGCCGCTTGCGGTGTTGATGATGCTGCCACGCCCGGCGGAGGCCATTGCTCGCCCCGCGTGCTTGACGCCCAGAAAGACGCCGATCACATTCACTGAGAACACCTTCTCGAAGTCCGACCTGTCGATGTCGAGGAGGGGTCGGTACTCCACGATCGTGCCGGCGTTGTTGAACATGATGTCCAACCGCCCGTGAGACCTCAGGGCGGTCTCCACGGTGGCCTGGACGTCGGCCTCGGAGGAGACGTCGCAGTGGACGTAGGAGGCCACGCCGCCGTCGCCGACGATTTCCCTGCAGACCTCCTGGCCATTCTCGTCCTGGATGTCGGCGACGACGACCTTGGCACCGTGCCTGGCGAAAAGCCTGGCGGTGCTCTCGCCGATGCCGCTGGCCCCGCCAGTGATAATGGCCACCTTCCCCTCCAGCCTGTAACCATGACGACGGCGACGAGGCTAAATGGTCCGTAAATCAAAGAGAGAGTCGAGGGCAAAAGTAAAAGGCAAATCATCGGAAGCTGCATACCGCCTCGCCAGGGAAGACAGCACCGCGGAGCTCTTCATAACGGCGGCGAAACGATCTTCCGGCGGAGGGGGCCAACGAACTCAAGATAAAGAGGTGAAAGTCAACAAACTTATTTAATGGGATCCACTTTTAGAATCACTTTTCAGGCACCACCTTTAGTACAGAGGAGAAATGGACCACGTGTGGCATGTTTCTTGGCCAGCTGTGGCCAAGATAAGGGATTGGCTATTTCGGCTATTAGTGAGTGCCTGCAAGACCAAGATTAGGGATATGTTCTTTAGGTTCTTGATGATAATTATTCTCTATTCTTGCCTCATTTTGTGGAAGTTTCATCATGGTCCTGAACGTAGACGACATCTGACCTCTGAATCAGGTAAATCCTTATGTAGATGCTCTTGCTGTGAATTGATTCATTTGTTCTTTCTTACTTCACATCATACGGACCAGGTTACCAATGTTCTACAAGTCCATATTGGGCTTTTGTTGTAACAACAATTGCTCGATTGAAACTCAAAACTCTTCTTTGTCAACTTGTGGGTTAGTTTGATCACCGGTTCAAATTAACAAGGTCAATCCTATTTTAGTTCTAGATTCTCAATTTGTCGGATTGGGTTCTAGCAATTCGATTGTTTTGGTCAAGTAAGATATAGATAGGGTAGAAGCTTTGACAGAGTCCTAGACAAGGATTAAGAATTTGGTTGAGATCTTGATCAAATGCTCACCCCTTGATTTAAGGCAAATGCAAGATCACTCACATGCATATTCTGCTAGGAAAATAGTGGAAGCACAATGGTATTATGAAAGGCCCACATAGAAAAATAATGTGGGTGGGGTAGAGAGTAGCTTCTCCCTTCTCCACATGCATGTGCTGTGTGAGGCTGCTCACCATGTGATAGATCAGCGACCGGGACTCTACACAAGATGAACAGACAGTGACGTCTTAACAACTTTTTAACGCATTTGGTGCATGAGAGCATAATAAATAGGCTGACAGATCAAATGGGTAAGTGTCTATTTGATTGGTGATGGAAGTTGACCTCTAATTACCTTTGTGAGGGGGTCAAAGCATCGGAGAAAGTAGGAACGATTACATATCCTTATATAGAGAGGAAGAAGACGAAGGGCCAAAAAACATGAGAAGGCCAAGAGACATAGAGAGGTGATGAAGGCAAAGGACCAAAAGATATGGGAAGGCCAAGAGGCCTATAGTGATCCTTTGTACTCACATTCCCCCTCAAGCTGGAGCGTAGATGTCGACTAAGTGTCATGTGTGAAGTGCAAATAAGCCTGTTTAAAAGTCGATGGTAGATGACGTGGTATGCAATCTTGATATGCATGATGCACAAATGAAAAGTTGGATTATTTGCTATGAAAATCACTGCCGGATTATCATAATACATAGGCATAGCACTTTACACTGAATAACCTCACTCCTGAAGTCGGTTGCACACCCAAAGTATACATGACGACATATCTATCATGACTCGATATTCGGCCTCAGTGCTGGAGGAGCAAGGGACCCACTACTTGTGACTGAACCACATCACACAAGATTTCCTACAACATAGATACAATAGTCCATGGTAGATTTTCAATTTGCACGATCGTCGACTAGATTGAAGTCTAAGTAGCCGACCACACAAAGATGTTTGTGGTGGTAAAAAGTAATCCCTCATCTAAAAGTATATTTGAGATAGGCGAGAAGTCTGAAAGTAGCCTCCCAATGATTGTATCGAGGTTCATGTATAGCTTGACTGAGAAGATTCATTATATAGGTAATGTCGGGTCGTGTGATAGTATGATAAATGAGCTTTCCAACTAGATGTTGATATGGGTGAGGAATCAGTGAGGAGAGGCAAGGTCGAGTCCTAGAAATTTTGCCGACTCTCGATCGGAGATGCATGTGACTTGTATTCGAGTAGTCCCACCTCCTGTGTTGATTAAGGACAATCTCCCTCGGGCAATAAACAAACTTTATGCCCAAGAAATACTTGGAGTCCTCAAGTCCCAGATATCTAGATGTTCTCAAAAGAAACATCTTGGTATCCTAAATGTCGATCATATCACTTTCTGTGATAATCATATCGTCCACGTAGACGGCAAGAATAATACACCCATTTGCGGTGGTCTTGTGAAAAACTATAGGCTCCACTTTGCATGTCAAAAAATCACATTACCGAATGAGGGTGCTGAATTTGATGAACCAAGTTTGAGGACTTTGTTTGAGACCATA